GGGGGCCGGCGGGGAGTAGGCCAGCCGGTGCCAGGCTGCGTTTGCAGGCAGCACCTCTCGGCGCCCGGGCAGCGCCGCCCGAGGGGCACGGGCCGGCGCGGGCTGAGCCGCCGAGGAAAACAACAACAGCCCTCCCGCCGGCGGCGGCTCGCGGCCGCCCGGGGAGCCCCAAACTTCATCTCGGCGAAAGTACGCGGAGCCTGCCTGGGCTCGGCTGCCGGGAGGTGGGGCCTGGGGGCCGGGGCAGCGCGGAAGGTACGCGGAGCAGCCTCGCGGGTCGGGGCCGCTGCGTGCGCCCGCTGACCGCCCACGGCAGCCCGGCGGCTCGGTCAGCTGGAGAGTTGGGACTGGGGGTTCCGGCCCCGCGGATCGGTGCCCTCGCGCCCCCAACCTAGCAAACGCGCGGCGAGTAGAGAAAGTGCTGTTTTAGTGCCAGAGTAGCCTGGAGGAAGAACTGGAGAGAGGGGGAAGAAGGCGAGAGAGAAGGGGAGAGAGGGGAGGGGAGGAGGAGGGGGGAGAGAGAGAGAGAGAGAGAGAGAGAGAGAGAGAGAGAGAGAGAGAGAGAGAGAGAGAGAGAGAGAGAGAGAACACGAGAGGGAACGGGAGGGAAGAGAGGAGGGGGAAGAGGAGGAGAGAGGCTGTGTCAGGATTTTGCCTGAATGTGGGATTATGTTGTGTCAATAAGTTTAAGGTGGAGAGAGCGAGGCCGGGGGTGGTGGTGGAGGGGAGGAGGAAGGCCTTGGATGTTTAGAGTCTCATTTCTGAAGGTAAGTTATGGCATTGCTTGGTCGCGATGACAGAAAACTTGCAGATCCTTTATCCGGGGATGGGGTCGATCCCTCTAGAAAGAGCTCCCAGCCCTCTGAAGCCCCACTCGTGTTACACTGTTATTTGCTGCGATCCGGGTCGCTAGTAAATTACAGAAATCAAGACTCGAGGTTTCTTTTCCTCCTCCACCTAGTCTCGCTCACTCACCCTCAGAAATGTTATTATTTTTTTTTAATATTTTGGGGATTATTGGATGAAACTTAACTGAGCCCAAACTCGAGTCCTGTAATTTACAAGGATCCCTGAATCCAAGATTCTGGAACACATTTATGTGTGAAATATCAGCGATCATTTCTGCTAAATGAGGAAGGTAAAACGAAACGATGCAAAAAGCTAAGACACAACATGTACGACAAGGGGGGGGGGAGGGAGAGACAGAGAGAAGCTATTTTTTGCTTTCCTTTCTGTAGAAAGGAAAATAAAGCGTGCAATCCCCTTCTCTCCTAGTATGTAGGGTCTAGTCGATATTTTAACTGTCGGAGGACAAATTAGTCCAGGTGGATCTTGTTGAAAAGTTTCGCGAGGTGGGGTGGAGGTGGGGGGGACGGAGAGGGAGGTGGGTGGAGGTTGTGGGGGATGGGGACGGAGCGAGCTCTGCCTCGGCTAATGGTCATTGGCCTGGGGCTTTGAAACCATTGCCTGTCCTGCTAATGACACGTCCAGTTCTCGTCTCCCCACCGAGGACGCCGGGCTGCCGTGCCCGGGGTTGGCGGACGGGGACCGGGGTACTTTCCCCGCGCGGAGAGGGGCGCTCTTTGCCATCCCTAGGGGCTGCCCACTCGCGGCGTGGCCCCCCACGCGCGCCCCCTCCCCTGAGCGCCGCCACCACCTCCGCTCGCGACTTTCGCAGCCAGCCGGCGGCCGGAGGGCGCGGGGGTCCCCGGCG